TAGCTCCTTATTCTCTTTCATTATTCTTATCTTCCTTTGCGATGATCTTAATCACGGTCTGCCTCCCTCATCTGACTGTGTCTGTCCTGTTACCCTCTATTGCCAAGTTTCCCTGTAGCACCTGGCACAGCGTGGCAGATGACTTAGGTGGCTTCTCTGAGCCCCTCTCAAACATAACAAATAATGTTAGTTTCATTAGTCTCAAATAACTATGTGCCGGGCACTGTGCTGTGCATCCTACATACCCGATCTCCTCTAATCCTTACACCAGCCTTAGCAAGTAGACACCAACACAATTCCCATTTTCCAGATGAGGAAAGTGAGACTGAGGCAGCTGAAGTGACTTAGGACCGCCCACCTAGAAAAGACCAGAGCTACAATTCAAAGCCAGCTCCACCCCCTCCTCCAAAGCCCACTTTGCTAGATGGGTTCCACCGGGAGGTTCAAAATTGGAAGGGCGTGGAAGGACTGAGGCGCAGGCATGTAACCTGGGGCTGGGTTGAGCAGGCAGGTGGATGGCCCTGGGAAGTTTTTTTTTTTTTTTATGTTTTTCTTGTTCTGTTACCCAGGCTGGAGTGCAGTGTCGCAATCTCGGCTCACTGCAACCTCTGCCTCCCAGGTTCAAGCGATTTTCCTGCCTTAGCCTCCTGAGTAGCTGGTATTACAGGCGCCCACCACACCTGGTTAATTTTTTGCAAATTTGTAGAGACAAGGCTTCGTTATGTTGCCCGGGCTGGTCTTGAACTCCTGACCTCAAGTGATCTGTCCACCTCGGCCTCCCAAAGCACTGAGATTACAGGCATGAGTCACCACGCCTGGCCTCCTGGGAGGTATTTGAGGTTGCTGGGTATTGGGTATGGGAAGGAAAATGCCATGACCCTGTCCCTCCACACCCTGCCCTGCAGAAAGCAGATGGGACCTGCAACACCAACTTCAAGAAGACACAGGCGCTGGAGCAGGTGACGAAGGTGCTGGAGGACTTCGTGGATGGAGACCACGTAATCCTGGTGAGCGGGACACCCATGTCCCAGAATGTAGCAGCTTAAGACAGCCACCATTTATTCTTGCTCCAAAGCCTGTGGGCTTCTGCTTTGGGCGGGGCTGGACTGATACTGGCTGGCTTTGCTCAGTCTGAGGTCAGCTGGTGGCTTGGCAAGGCTGGCTGGTCCAGGGTGGCCCTGCTCCCAGCTCTGCTGGTTGGCTCATGACTTGGCCACATGTCTCTCGACAGCAGGATGGCCTGGGCTTGTTCTCGCTCGTTTCACTTGCCAAGAGAACAAGTGAAAATGCAAGGCCTCTTGATGCCTGGGCTCAGAATGGCCACCGTCATCTCTGCTATTCAGCAAGTCTTGTGACCCAGCCTGGATTGAAGGGTCCGGGAGACAGACTCCACCTCCGAATGGGAGTAGAAATTCGTGGAATCCACCACTATTGTCCGTGCCACCTTGATGAATCCAAGCCCTCACTCCTCCACCCTGTCTTCCCCGTGGCTCCCCTCTTCCTTCCTGGCTAGAGCCTGCCTACGTCTTTGGGGGCAGGGGGTGAGGTGAGAGCTCAAGGTGGGTCCCCATGCTAACCAAAGAACCCTCCCTGTCACACAGCAAAAGTACGTGGCACGCCTAGAAGAACTTCGTGAAGCTCTGGAGATCTCCCCCTTCTTCAAAACCCACGAGGTGCGAGCGCTGGCCGCCATGGGTGGATGTGGGGGTGTTGGGGTCCAGGTGCATGGAGTGGAAACCATTGATGAATGACAGGTCAAAGATATAAAAAGGCGCTGGGCGTGGTGGCCGACACCTGTAATACCAGCACTTTGGGAGGCCAAGGTAGGAGGCTTGCTGGAGCCCAGGAGTGCCAAGACCAGCCTGGGCAACATAGCAAGACCCCACCTCTATTAAAAAAGAAAAAAATGCCTGGTGGGGTAGTGTGCACTTGTGGTCCCAGATACTCGGGGGGCTGAGGATGGAGAAGTGCTTGAGCCCCGGAGGTTGAGGCTTCAGTGAGCTGTGATCATGCCACTGTACTTTTGTCTGGGTGACAGAGCAAGACCCTGTCTCAAAAAATAAAGCAGGCATGGCTCATACCTGTAATCCCAGCACTTTGGGAGGCCGTTTGCACTCCCGCCTGGGCAACAAGAGTGAAACACTGTCTCAAAAAGAAACATAAAACAAGACAGACCAGGTGTGGTGGCCCATGCCTATAGTCCCAGCACTCTGGGAGGCTGAGGCGGGAGGATCACTTGAACCCAGGAGTTCGAGAGCAGCCTGGGCAACATAATGAGACCCTGTCTCTACAAAAAAATAAAAAATAAGGCCAGGCGCGATGGCTCACGCCTGTAATCCCAGCACTCTGGGAGGCTGAGGCAGGTGGATCTCCTGAGATCGGGAGTTCGAGACCAGACTGACCAACATGGAGAAACCCCGTCTCTACTAAAAATACAAAATTAGCCTATGTGGCATATACCAATAATCCCAGCTACTCGGGAGACTGAGGCAGGAGAATCGCTTGAACCTGGGAAGATGAAGATGGAGGTTGCGGTGAGTCGAGATCTTGCCATTGCACTCCAGCCTGGACAACAAGAGCGAAACTCTGTCTCAAAAAATTAATCAACTTAATTAAATTAAAACGGCGTCTACTGAGAGCTGACTGCCAAGCACCCAATGAGCAGGGGCTGGTACCGTTATCCCCATTCTACAGAAAAGGAAACCAATTATCAGTAGCAGTCCACGGGGCCTGGGAAGTTGCTGTTTCTTTTTATCCAATTTCTAGTTTTTTTAAAAAATTTTTTTGTCAGAGTCAGGATCTCATTCTGTTGCCCAGGCTGGAGTGCAGTGGCATGATCATAGCTCACTATAGCGTCAATCTCCTGGGTTCAAGTGATCCTCCTGTCTTGGCTTCCTGTCGCTGGAACTACAAGTGTGCCTTACCACGACCAGCATTCCAATTCTTTAGTCTTTACCAGGCTGTCTTCACTCATTCTGGATCCTGAAGGCATTTGAGTTTGCGCTCTGGCTTAGCAAAGGCCAGGCACAGTGGCTTATGCCTATAATTCCAGCAGTTTGGGAAGTCGAGGCAGGAGGATCGCTTGGACAAAGGGATGCTTCCCATCCCAGGTGGGACAGAGCAGGATGGAACCAGATTTCAGCACAGTACTTACAACAGTGTGCAAGTAAAGACTTACCAATTGTTTATTTCTGGAATAAATTTAATATTTTTGAACTGCAGTTGACTGAGAGTAACTAAAACCAAAGAAAATGAAACCACGGGCAGGGGGAACTAAGTCTATTCCTCTCACTTGGACTGTGAGGACGCAAAACCACAGAGAGGTTAAGACACCTGCCCAAGGCTGCATAGCCAGGAGGTGGCATAGCCAGGATCTGAACTCAGGCAGCCAAGGCTCCAGGGTTCATGCTGTCAGCCACCCTGCTCTGCTGCCTGTCAGCAGAGGACCTTGGCCAGCACCTGCTCCTCCCCTAACCTCCCATCTCTTCCCCTGGCAGGTGGTGGGCAGCTCCCTCCTCTTCGTGCATGACCACACCGGCCTGGCCAAGGTCTGGATGATCGACTTCGGCAAGACGGTGGCCTTGCCTGACCACCAGACACTCACCCACAGGCTGCCCTGGGCTGAGGGCAACCGTGAGGATGGCTACCTCTGGGGCCTGGACAACATGATCCACCTCCTGCAGGGGCTGGCACAGAGCTGAGCTGCTCCGCCACCGCCAGGTTTACTAATTGGATGGCACCAGTCTGGCTGGAGGAGTCCCGAGATGCCATGGGGGGGCCTGAGGTTGGCCAGGGACGGGAGAGGTTGTCATGTGCCACATGAGACTAATGTGGAAAGGTCTGAGGGGCCTTGGGAGACCAGGGAGCACCTGGCCCATCATGATGCAGGGGCTGTGGGGACCTGGAAGGAACATGATGAGGCAGTGAGTCAGAAAAACTAGAACAGGGTCCCCTGATCTGCCGGGAAAGTTTCTGAGGGGCTGCCAGAGGCCACAGCAAAAGCATGCTGCCCTGAGAGCACTCAGTTCAGATGTCAGAGGAACAGCGTGACAGGGGGCCTAAGGCTACATGAATCACCTATGATCGGCCTCCCTGTCAGCCTCCAGGCTGCCGGTTAGCTGAGGCCGGGGACTGGGTCAAGCATCATTGGTGAACGGAACGAGGCACCACTGGACCATTTGGGGAAAGTGACAGTCCTGTGCCTTCACTGGGGATCCATTTGAGTGCTGAGCGACAAAAGGCCCAGAGGGCATTATCTTATGGGACTGGACGCAGCCTGAGGGCTGAGACCTCTGGGCGGGCACAGTTCACTGAGGTCCTGCCCTGCCATGGCCCTGTGGGATTCTCCGTGTTCCTCAGAGGACTCTGCTGACCTCCTGCAGACCCAAACCACAGCCACATACCAGCTACCGTGCCAGCACTGCACCAGCAGAAACTTGCGCCTCTGCGCATCGGATCCAGCCTCAGGACTTCCTCCTCCTGCCCAACCCTCAGGCTTCTCTCTCCTTTCTCAGCCAACAGCAGGGGCAGAAAAGAGGTTCGGAGGCAGGGAAAGCAGGCTTCCCCCTGCCTCTCAGAGCTGCTGCGCTCAGGACCCCATCCAATCCCAGGCCCCTGCAGGAAAAAGCACAGGGTATGTGTCAGAGGCCAGAGTGGGTGGGGCTGCCGGCCACAACCCTGGCCTGCAGCCTGGTCCAAACCAAAGACTGTAGAACCCTGGGGTGTGGCTAACAGCCCCTCCATCCCCCTCCTGCAGCACCCACAGCTAGGTCTTCCTGGCCCACAAGGCTGGGCTGGCGGACAGGTACCTACCTCTTCCCTAAGCTGAAGCTCCTGCACTGTCTTCCAGGGCCGAGGGGACGCTCTCCTTTTCTACTGACCATCCTGATACTTATTTATATGAGGCAGTTGCTGGACGGGGTAGTACTGGAAGCAGGAGGCAGAATAGCTCTGCTGAGCCTCCCGCCCATGACGACACCCCAATAAACGGGACATTCAGAGTCAATGTCATGAAGCTTTTTCTTTTGCATCTGGAGTGTATCTCGACAAAAGTGCTGGGTGGAGTAACAAGATAACAAGCAGTGTGGGAAAGAGGCAGGCTCCGAGCAGGCCACTTCACTCACTCAGCAGATCTGTTACCTCGGCAGCTATTCTTGTGCCTGGATGTATCGGACAATGCAGGGGACACAGTGGTGACCAAGGCTGCTCCAAGCCCTGGCTGGGATGGGGGATGCACAGGCAGGCTGATCAGGGCTGGGATGGTGACACACATCCTCTTTACCCTGTCACTGGTTAGAAACACTGCACTGTAGCTGGGTGAGGGGGCTCACACCTGTAATCTCAGCACTTTGCGAGGCTGAGGTGTGGATCACCTGAGGTCAGGAGTTTCAGACCAGCCTGGGCAATATGGCAAAGCCCCATCTCTACAAAAAATACAAAGGATTAGTCAGGCATGGTGTGCGCATGCCTGTAGTCCCAGCTACTTGGGGGGCGGAGGCAGGAGAATCGCTTGAACCTGGGAGGTGGAGGCTGCAATGAGCTGACATTGCACCACTGCACTCCACCCTGGGCGACAGAACAAGACTCTGTCTCAAAAAAACAAAAAAAGGAAACATGACACTGTACAGTTTCCCTAAATGAGACTGGCTCAATTAGGGAAAGAGCAGTGATCAAGACAGGCCTGTTCCTCCCATTTCAGAGTGGAGGGGGCAGGTATTCACAAAACTAGTAATCACACACACTTACTAGATATTTGTATGGGTGGATAGGGATGACTACCTAGCTTGAATCCTGACCCTGCCACTTGCTAGTCATGTGACCTTAGGCCAGCGATTCCACCTCTCCAGGCCTCAGTCCTGCCATCTGTCAAATGGGGGGCATCTAGCACCCCCCTTACAGGGCTGCCAGATCTGCAGAGTTAACACAGAGGGACTGACGCAGTTAACTGCTCTCAGATGGGTTTTAAAACAGTGAGGATGTGAGGTGGGGAGGGATGCCTAGACTGGGGCTGACTCGTCCCTGAGGTAGTGATACCTGAGCCCCGATGCAGAAGTTAGGGAGCGATCCGCAGCAGAGGGCTGGAGGATGGACCCAATGCTCCGGGGATCTGAAAGGCCAGTATGACTGGCAGGGGGCAAGCATGAGGAAAAGCCTGGGCTAAGGAGGGGTGAGCTGAGGCTGGCACAGTGTAGTGTCCCTGTCCTGTGAGCAGCAGAGGGCCCAGGCAGGAGGCTCCTTAGATATCTAGTGAGGTGACAGAGGCGGTCCCCAGTGAGAAACGGACCGCTGTGACATTCAGATGGGATATGCAGACGCAGGGTCCTGCAGGGGGTGGCCCTGGGGTTGGGACAATGCCCAGGCCTGGAAGAGATGGAGCAGGGGTGGTCCTGATGAAGGATCCCTTGGCTGGAGGCCCGAGACCCAGCTCAGACCTTGGGGTCATCACACGTAGAGAAGTGGCGGCACACTTCAAATGGTGACTGAGCTAGGCTGCAGCCCGGGACTGCAGCCCTGGCTAATGGCTGCAGCCCTGCGGTCTGAGGAGCAGAGCCTGGCCGCAGAGGCCAGCCCGCACCCCACCCGCCGGCACTACATACACCCGGCCGTCAGTGGCCCGCGAGGGCGAGAAGTCCGTCAGCTGCAGGTTGCTCTCCCGGACTTGGTCGTAGTCCCACAGCTGATAGTGCCAACTCTTGCCCTGCTTAGACAGCAGGTAGACAGCTCCCGGGGAGCTCTCCTCCGGCAGGGATGGTGGCTGGCAGGGCGCGCCCAGCACTGGGTGGAATAGGCCCGGCAGCTCGGGGTCCTCAGTGTAGCCGAGACCTGGAACAGCGGGAACACCCAGCAGGATCCCTGGGGGAGAGGAGGAGTTGGTGAGTGGCAGTGACTGAGCCACGACCAGCTGCACGCTAAGTTCCGCCCCCTCCCAGCCCTCCAGGGTGGTGCGGCTTCCATTCCTAGGTTACAGTAACATTAGTGGCAGCCAGTGGAGTTGGGATTTGGACCCACCACGGCATCTGGCTCCAAAGCTGTAGGCGTTTTAAGTCTTGCCTTGCCTGGCCTGACAGCACAGGGAAGTGGGGAGGCAGCATTAGATGGAGCACATGTGGTCACCCGGTCATCCCCAGCTGTCCAGGGAAGAGAGGCTCCAGGATGAGCTGGCAAGGCCACACAGCCATAAAGAGGCTGAGCAGAGCCTCCCCCGGACCCCAGACCTCCTGACATGGACCAACCTGGTATTCTTTCAGGCAGGCAGAATGAGGAAGATGGTGCTGGTAATGCTTACAGAGATGTCACATGCCAAGCCATTTTTTTGTTTTTTTGCGATGGAATCTCGCTCTGTTGCCCAGGCTGGAGTGCAGTGGCGCGATCTCAGCTCACTACAACCTCCACCTTCTGAGTCCAAGCAGTTCTCCTGCCTCAGCCTCCCAGGTAGCTGGGATTTCAGACATACACCACCATACCCGGCTAATTTTTGTATTTTTCATAGAGACAGGGTTTCACCATGTTGGCCAGGCTGGTCTCAAACTCCAGACCTCAAGCGATCCAGTCACCTTGGCCTCCCAAAGTGCTGGGATTACAGGCATGAGCCACAGTGCCTGGCCAAGCCGTGTTCCAAGAGTGCTCCGTGCTCTGCCTACAAGGCAGCCTTATGAGGTGGGTACTATTGTTACCCCCAATTTTCAGATAGGGAAAACAGCGGCCCAGAGAGGTGACGATACCTGCCCAGAGTCATAGAACCTAGAAGTGGCCAGGTCAGGCCTGGAGCCCAGACTGTCTTGATCCTGAAATCTGCGCCCTAAGCTTCTGTTTGTAGAAGCTCCAGCTGGCGGACACCTCGGCCCCAGCCTGCCCGGTGCTATGCTAAGTGTCCTGTGGGGACCGGGATGCCCAGCTCTCGTCCCTGTCTTGAGAGTGCACAGCCTGGCTGGGGAGGCACTAGCACAAGGGATGAGAATGTCAGGAGGGTTAATGGAGGCTGGGGAGACCCGCGATGAGGGGTGCAGGGATGAAGGAGGGGAACCCACCTGCGCTCACTGCCCAGTGGGCCTTATAGCCCTTCCTCTGACATGGCTCATGGTTGAAATCCTCGTCGTAGCTGGTGCTGACATTAAGGTAAAAACGATGGTGTGGCCCTGGGACCCACCCTTCGCCACCCTTGCCCTCCTCCCTCCCAGGCCCTGGATACGGGATGAGCAGGGGGTGTCCGGTGACCAGGTGCTGCAGGACGAGGTCTCTGTTGGGACCGCCCAGGCCACCAGAGAGCAGCTTAGCCTGGCAGCCCAACACCTCCTGGGCCAGCCTGCCCATGTCGGCCACTGCAGGGTGAGGGCACACAGAGGGGGCTCGCTGTGTGCGGCCAGCACCATACCGCGTTCCCACAGCGGGTGACACTTCCCACCCTCACCATGACCTTCCACCCCTTGGTACACATGCAGAAAACGAGGCACAAAGAGCATCAGTGGCTTGTCCATGGCCACAGCAAAGAGGTGGCAGAGATGGCTTTGCAACCCCGGCAGCCAGCTCGAGTCCACCTTGTAACCTCTCTGCTCTACCAGGCAGTGGGAAGGGCCCAAAGAATGGAACGAGATCCCGACTCGGCTGTCAGCACCCCACCCAGCCTCGTGAAGAGGTGACGGAGCACATGGTCACCCAACTCACCTGAGAACATCTCTCCCTGGGCCGTGTAGCCTCTTTCCATGGCTACCTGCACGAGTCTCTCCAGGGGGACGCCACTCGGAGGTGACAGGAGAGTAGCTGCCATCCACAAGGCCACCAGCCCACATCTGGGGACAGACAGGCCTATGTCACAGCCCCTTTACCAGGAAGCTGGAGTGGGGAAACAGGTTTGCTGCCCTGGAGGAGTTCCCTCCTGTCTCCCAGGTCAGCAAGGGAGACCTGACTCCCCTTCAGGGGAGAGGACGGCCAAGGCCAGAGCCCAGGGCTGGAGGGCTGGGGGTGGAAGAGTGGGGAGAGGTCACCTCAGCTTGCTGGGAGGAGGTGCCAAGGTGGAGTTACAGAGATGGACTGGGCTTATTCATTCACTCATTCGATGTTCCAACTATGTTTACTATGCAGGCACCCAGGAGCCTGGGTGGAAAGTTCCCCCATTCCTTCCCTCCTCCCCCCACCAGGGAAAATCCACTCCCCTTCTCCTGATCAGTCCCTAAGAAGCCCAGCAAAGGGAGAATAAGGGCGGCAAAGAGGCTGCGGGTCCCGCATCGGGGCACGTACTGAGGGCCTTCTTGGATGAGGGACGGCAGGTCTGCACAGAAGAGGATCCACTGCAGGTCACCTCGGAACCTGAAGTAAAGCCATGCTCAGTCACCAGGGAGCCAGCTCTGAAGCACTTCCCACCTTGAGGTCTGGCTGGGAGCAGGGCAACCAGGGACGATGAAGGAAACACCAGCCTGGCTGTCCTAAGGCTGAGGGCGGTTCCTGGTTCAGTCACCGGCTTCCCCTCCCCAAGCCTCAGTTTCCTCATCTGGTTCGTGGGAAATGGTCCTCCTGCCTGCCTGCTCCCTGTTCTCTCTCAGTTAATGAAGGGTGAGGAGCAAAGGGTGGCACTTTGTAACCAGGAGCCAGAGAGGTTTATCTGAGGAAATTTCTCAGAGGGGTATCTGTATACCCAACTCTCTTTTTTTTGAGACAGGGTCTTACTGTGTTGCCCAGGCTGGAGGGCAATACTGTAATCAAAGCTCACTTAAGCATTGACCTCCCAGGGTCAAGTGATCCTCCTACCTCAGCCTCCTGAGTAGCTAGGAGTATAGGCATGTACCACCATGTCAAGCTGATTCTTTTTATTTTATTTTTGAGATAGAGTTTCGCTCGTTTTGCCCAGGCTGGAGTGCAACAGCACAATCTCAGCTCACTGCAACCTCTGCCTCCTGGGTTCAAGTAATTCTCCTGCCTCAGCCTCCCGAGTAGCTGGGATTACAGGTGCGTGCCACCACGCCCAGCTAATTTTGTATTTTTAGTAGAAACTGGGTTTCACCATGTTGGCCAGGCTGGTCTTGAACTCCTGACCTCAGGTGATCCGCTCA